AAGATAAACAGGCAACAGAAAATGCCACATACACACAATGAGATATTACTCAGCTTTAAAAGGAGATCCTGCCATTTAACCTGGGCAGCCCTGAAGGACATGCTAAGTGAATTAATGCAAAGGAAGATAGACAGACTTGCATGGTCTCACATGTGGAATATATGACAGGAGAGAGAAAGAGACTGATGGGGAGAGGAAGAACTGGGATGGTGTAAACCAAGGGATACGACATACTAAAAATCCGATACCTGGGGCCGGGCATTGGTGGTGCAAGCCTTTAATCCCAGCACTTGGGAGGCAGAGCCAGGTGGATCTCTGTGAGTTCGAGGCCAGCCTGGTCTATAGAGCAAGATCCAAAACAGATATCAAAACTACATGGAGAAACCCTGTCTCGAAAAAACAAAAGCAAACAAACAAACAAAAAAATTAGTATTACTAATTACTATTTTCATGGGATAATAAAAAAGCAAGTGGTTGTATGTAAGAAAGATTTACAAGTCCCAAACAATCATTTTGAGTAATGAGCAGAAACAATAAAACACTACTTTGAAAAGAGTTTACAAGGGTTGGAGAAATGCCTCAGAAGTTGCTCTTGCGGAGTCCCTGTGTTCAGTTCCCAGCATCCACATGGATTACAACCATCTAACTCCAGTTCCAGGGGACCCAACACCCTCTTCTGACTTCCAGTGGCTCCTGGCACTCACATGGTGTACATGTATAATGCAGGTAAAACACTCAAATACATAAAATAAAATAAAGCTAAAATTTTTTTTAAAGAATTTACAACATGCTGGATGGTGTTAGCCTTTAATCCAACACTGGTGGCAGAAACAGGAAGATCTCTGTGAGTTCGAGGCCAGTCTTGTCTACAGAGTAAGTTCCAGGACAGCCAAGACTACACAATGAAACCCTATCTGTGAAAGGAAAAAAAAATTTACAACATACAGCGAAAACCATTTTAACAGGACTTGAAACCAACAGATATATGTAGTAAATGACCAAGCCCAAAGACATCAGAGCCATCAACCCATCCTAAAGCCCAATCTCAACAAACAATGTGAACAGCTGGCTAAACTAAATGATATTTTACATTATACACTGGGGTAGTTTGAATGATTGGCCCCCATAAGCTCATACGGAGTGGCACTATTAGAAGGTGTGGCTTTGCTGGAGTAGGTGTGGCCTTGATGGAGGAAGTGTGTCACTGTAGAGGAGGGCTTGGAGGTCTCATATATGATCAAGCCATGGTCAGTGTCCAAGCTCACTTCCTGTTGCCTGTGGATCAAGATGCAGGATTCTTAGCTCCTTCTCCAGCACCATGTCTATCTGCGTGCCACCATGTCCCACCACGATGCTAATGGACTAAAACTCTGAAACTGCAAGCCACCCAATTAAATGTTTTCTTTTTTTAAGAGTTGCCATGCCAGGCAGTAGTGAAGCATTCCTTTAATTCCAGCACTCAGGCAGGTGGATCTCTGTGAGTTCGAGGCCAACTTGGGCTACAGGGTGAGTTCCAGGAGAGACCCTTGGGGGAGAGGGGGGGTTTGCCATGGTCATGGTGTCTCTTCACAGCAATAGAGACTCTAAGACATGCTGAAACTCCCTAATATTTGCTGAGCACCAATCAAATACCAGGGGTTTTTTTGTTGTTGTTGTTGTTTTAAAGAATGCACACGTTTAATCTCAGCACTCGGGAGGCAGAGCCAGGCAGATCTCTGGTGAGTTCGAGGCCAGCCTGGTCTACAGAGCAAGATCCAGGACAGGCATCAAAGCTACACAGAGAAACCCTGTCTCGAAAAACCAAAAAAAAAAAAAAAAAGAATGCAGCCTCTCTGGACTCAAGGCTCTAGGGACCGACCCCCTTTCCCTTTGCCCAGGGCATTTATTATTCCCAATATTTACAGTTTAGTCAGTTGATTTCCATATTCTCAAAACAACCTGAAAGGAGCTCCCAAAGATACAATTCCAAATGCAAATTCCTCGATAGGTTTGCTGGGTTTCCTGGACCAGGTTTTGCATAGGAGACTCTGAGACAAGATTCACACGGGACAAACTAAAGCAAACACCAGGCTTGAAAAACATTTTCCAGCTCCATTTCGATCTCTCAACACTTGTTGGTCAGTGTCCTGTGAATGCTTATCAAAGTTAATCTTATTGCTTGCAGAACTCTGTACATTTTACTGCAATGACTTTCTAAAGCTACCTACTGCTCTGACTCACCAGAGAGCCTGTGACTGAAACACAACTACAGACCTGATACTCACGCAACAGCGAGAGGCAGGGTGGCAATGTGGCAACCCTAGGCAGAAGTGGTAAGAGAGATTGACAGCAGGAAGGAAGGGGAAAAAAACCTAAGACCATTTTGATTATCTTTTTCAAGACAGGATTTCTCTGCGTAGTTTTGGTGCCTGTCCTGGATCTTGCTCTGTAGACCAGGCTGGCCTCGAACTCACAAAGATACTCCTGGCTCTGCCTCCCGAGTGCTGGGATTAAAGGCATGCATCACCGCCACCCGGCTCCATTTTGACTATTTCTGCAGTTAACCAGGTTATATTTGGAGGTAGCCCAGGCTGCCCCAAGTTGCCCCAGGCTGGGTGTAGATATTACCTACAAGCCCCACTGAACCAAGCTAATTTACTATTATTCAGTTGACTCTGAAGAGAAAAACCAGAAACTCTCCTTTGAAAGAAAGTGACTTTAAACAGATTTTTTTTTTTTATTAGGGAGTATTTAAATCTGAGATTACTGGGGGCTGAAGAGATAGCTCAGTGGTTAAGAGCAAGTGCTGCTCTTCCATAGGACCCAAGTTCTATTCCCGGAACCCATACAGTGGCTCACACTCTAGTTCCATGGAATCCAACATCCTCTTCCGGCCTACTCTGGCACTGCATGCATGTGGTGCACATACAGGCAGGCAAACACACATATATAAGTTAAATAAAAATAAATTTTTTTAAAGATTTATTTTTTTATTATGTATACAGCATGTACAACTGCAGGCCAGAAGAGGGCACCAGATTTCATTACAGATGGTTGTGAGCCACCATGCGGGTGCTGGGAATTGAACTCAGGACCTCTGGAAGAGCAGTCAGTGCTCTTATCCTCTGAGCCATCTCTCCGGCCCATAAATCTTAAAAATAAATAAGAGCCAGGCATCGTGACCCTCACTTTAATCCCAGCACTTTGGAGGCAAAGGTAGCCAGATCTCTTGTGAGTTTGAAGCCAGCCTGGTCTACATATTGATTTCCAGGACAGCCAGGGATATGTCAAGAGACCTTGGCTCAAAATAAGCAAGCAAATAAATAAAAAATAAATCTGAAAATATTGTACCAATAACCAAAAAAAATTTAATTACTATCCAAGAAAAAAATGCAAAAATAGTTAAAAGTTCCTCAAGGATTTTTAAGGAGATCTCTAAAAACATTGAGTGTGGAACGGAAGTTGAAGAGTCAAATAGTATTTTCATACCATTATCCAGAACATACTTGAAAGTGTAACACCTAGTATCTTTTCTCAGCACTGATAGTTCAAAGTTGCTTGTTTCTGTCTTAAGCATTTAGAGATTGAAACTTTGTATATCTGCCATTTGTGATCAAAGGAACTTGCCCCCAAACAACTGTCCTCCCAAATTACTCAAAACATTAAAATCCAAAATTTAAAGTGGAGAAAGAGATAACTCTTCCTCCAAACAGCAAATGTTGATACCAGCATTATAGTATCATACTCTACATACAGGTTATTTCTGGTCATACCTGGTTAAGACCCACGAATGATTTGGCTGTTTATCTCTCCATTTTTTATGAATATAATTTCAGAGATCGAAGGCCACCAAAAAAAAAAAAAGTGGCTTTAAAAAGAGTAACGAGAGCCAGTGAGATGGGTCAGTGGGTTAAAAGTCATTTGCTGCCAAGCCTGAGGGCCTGAGGTAGATCCCACGTGGTGGATGGAGAGAAAGATTCCTGCAAGCTGTCCTCTGACTACAAGCACTCCTTGTGCTATGCGTACACCCACGCGTACAGTGCACATACACATAAAATAAGTAAGCCAATATTTTAAACATTGTAAAGAACAGTAACGAACCAAGAGGAGGAGGAAAGATAGCAGGACAGCAAGAAGTGTGGTTGTGAACACCTGTATAGCAATACAATTTACATATCAAGTAACTCAATAATAGAATGATCTGATACTGTTTTAAACAGAAGAAAGGCAGGGGACCACTAATACTCAAGAGTTCTTCCAGACTTTACAAGAACTCAGAGACTAACACATCGACTGATTCCAGGTTCTGGATGTTTCCAAGCTATCTGTTGACATTCTCAGAAGACTGCAAAATGAAATTCAGAGTTATTTCAATGCGTCTAACCTAAACGGCCTCATACAAAATTAACAGGCTACAATACGATTTAAAAAAAAAAAAAAAGTCTTTCAATGTTTTGCTCACAGAACCCACATCTCCTACAGAAATAATCACAGCTCATAATCCAACTGAAGCCGGGGCCTGCCTAGGATTCAAACCGTTAAGGGAGTGTCAGGATGCGAGGACAAGCTTCAGGAAGAAGAAAGTGCACCATACACAGGCCGAGGAGTCAAAGGACAACAAGGGCCGCAAAGACACCAGGCAGTTGGACCAGGGCATCCAAGAACCACGGAAGGTCATTCAACCTCTTGACAACGACAGCTAGAGTTGGAGAACAGCCGGTCCCCGAGTCGGTCCCGAACAGGAAAGCTGGGGATGCTCGGGACACAGCGCGCACGAGGTGCCCAGGTACCGGGTCTACGCCAGAACCCCCGGTCTTGTGAACTCGACTCCGCGACGAAGAGCGGCCACTGCAGGATGCAGGAACACTGTGTGACAGGCTGTCCAGGCGCCCGCGCCCATCGCAGGGTCCCGAGGCCCGGGGCCCGGGGCCCGGGGCGACCGGGAACGCCGTCCGGGCCGCGCACCGGGATCGCCCGCGCTCGGAGATGCGCAGCCCATGGGCCGGCCGCGCGCGCCTCACCTGGCAGAAGCAGCGCTGCGCCGCCGTCTCCTCGCCGTGGCCCGAGCACAGTAGCCACAGGGCGCCCAGGAGGCCGACGAGCAAGCCCCAGCCGCAGCCCATCGCCGACCGCCGCCCTCCGCCCGCGCCGACGTCCCCGGCTCCCGGGCGCAGGCCGCGCGCTTGCAGAAAAACCCCGCGCCAGGCCCCGCCCCGCCGCCGCGCCCCGCCCAGGCCCCGCCCCAGCCCCTTGCTCCCCCCCCGCCCCTGCGGACGTGCGGCTGCGCGCGAGCCTGGGGCGGGTACCTTTCGGCTCGCCCGGCTCACGCAGCCTCCTACGGTCCACCTGGCCGGCAAGCTTCCTTCCGGGGTCCTTCCGGGGTCGAAGCCTCCCCGGAGCCATAGCTCCCGGCTTTCACTGTCCTGCCCGCCCCGCCCCCGAGCTCAAACCGACTCAGCCCCAACTCCCTAGGAGGAAATCGAGCCTGGGTTACGTGTCCGCCGTGCTGTGGCCGCCTAAAGCCAAAAGGATGTTCATCTTGGGGAGCACAGCCGCACAAACGACTCAGAATTCCCTAGTGGCTGTGCCAACTAGAAAGGGAACAGGTGAAATTGGTTTCCAAACGGGTTGCGCGTCGCGGTTTACGCCCATAATAATCCCAACACTCCAGAGGCTGCGGCAGGAGGATTGCTCAGTTTCGAAGATAGCTTGAGCTACATACTTCCGGTACTGCCTAGCTAGAGTTAGGCCTTATTGTAAATGAATAATTAAATAAATGATAAAGAAATGTTTTTTTATTAAACCAGTATAGGGAAGATGTTAGCTCAACGTGTACTCAAATTTCAATTTTATTTATAAAATAATGTGTTTTCTGCGAAGTAGGCGCATTTCACATCCAGAGCAAGGTGAAGACCACCCTTTCTCTCTTTTCATAAATGGATGTTAACTAGTGTTAACAAGTTGGGGCTATGTAGCAAGGCCTTGACTTTAAAAGAATTGAGGGAAATAATTACGTCGAATTTAGAAAATAGTAGCGATTCCTCAAGAAACTAAACATGGAATTTCGAACGTGATCATTTCCATAAATACCCTACTTCTGTGTATACATTCGAGTGAGTTGAAAGTTATATACTGCAGAAATATCTGCACTCTTCACGTTCAACATTTGTAGGAAACCTTTGATAACATTTTCGTATTTCTACACTGAATTGCAAACTCTTGAAACCCCTTAAGCGTGGCTCCTGTCTCAAACATACCATAGACTCCCAGAGTCTTTTCTGTTTTGGATGTCTAGCTTTCTTATGACCAAGTACTCAGCCGTCAAAAATGAGAGGGCAAGAAAAGAATACTAAATAAGTAAAGTTCCAAGTTTTTGGAAGCAAGCATGATGCAGCTCAAGATCTTAGACTGATGCAAGAACCTGTAAGCCCTTCTTCAATATGCCTTCCTGGGCAATCATTCCGAGTGTGTGAAGGCCCATGAAATAACTAATTAGTCATTCAATAAAATTTCACAAAGGCCACAGGATACAAAGTTCAGTCTTTGATTCTGAAACCCAGCCTCCCTGATCTGTTACAGCTTTGTTCAACAACATTAAATTTTGGGGAGATGAACAGGATCACAACTTTGTTATTCTATTACTACAACAACATCACGACAGACTTCATGCACTCAGCATTTCTTGTTTTGTTTTTAAGGCACACAGCATTTCTCGACAGATCCTGATTGCTATGTAAATAACAGCTATTATTGTTTTAATGAGCAAAGCAGGAAGTGGCTTGAGCCAGTTTTTCAAAATGGGATATGAAGGAGTCTACAGGAATCTCCGCGCCGAAACCATTTCCAGCACTAACCAGACAAGAAAGAAAAAGGTCAAAGGGAACGATATAGTCAAGGAAGAATCACTAAGCAAAACCTTAAGGGCTTGGGGCCTCATGATTAGACTCGTGTATCTAATCTTTACTGAACACCAATGTCAGATTGTCAGACCTTTCTTGCCATGGGACTAGAACAACCTGAGGTGGGAAGGCATGGCTACTCAAACTGTCTTTCCATTCAGTTCCTGAACAAGCAAGCTATGTGTTATAGTCACTTCTTAATTTCCCATTCCTGTCTCAACCTCCACTCTATCTGGTTTCCAGGTTACCAGTCCTGCTATGCCTCTTCAAGTGACATTATCACTAAACCCGACGACCATTTTCCAGGAAATATATGCTGCATTTGGCCAGTGTTGATTCCTCTGTCTTCAAATTCAATGTACTATGTAGGAAACACTTCAGGTTCTCTTTATGACCGCCTCCCCTTTTGTCTGTCTCACCACATAGCTCAGGCTAGACTCTAACGCACCATCTTCCTGCCCCAGCCTTCCAAGTGCTAGGATTACAGACCATCACACCCTTGTCTTATATCTTCCTGATACTATTTATGCTCTTCATGATCTTTCCCACAGTCCACCTTTAAGATGTGACCACTCCTTAGGATTCCATCTATCCTTTAGTATCAATTCACTATCTTCAAGAAAATTGCTTAGTCCCAGAAGTTTAAATATTTTCTCTACACTCAAGACTCCCAAGTATGCTGGGCGGTGGTTGCCCACGCCTTTAATTCCAGCACTCGGGAGGCAGAGGCAGGAGGATCTCTGTGAGTTCGAGGCCAGCCTGGGCTACAGAGTGAGTTCCAGGACAGGCGCCAAACCTACACAGAGAAACACTGTCTCAAAAAAAAAAAAAAGACTCCCAAGTATATATTTCTAGTTCAGCTCTGGCCCTTGAGCGTCACAGTTCAACTGTCTATTGGACAGGTACACCTGCTTTTCTGAGAGACGGTTGGTCACACCGTCTGTGGCTAGGCATCTGGAAATCAGGAAGATGCCTTGGGTTGTTAATGTTGTTGTTGTTTTGTTTTGTTTTCTGTTCTCCTTGACATCCCACAACCTTCTGATGCCCCGACAGTCTGCCCTTTACATACATCTTCAATGTTTCTTCTCCATCTTTGTGAAGTAGAACTGAACTCTGGCCCCTATTCTTTCTCACTTACTTTATTTCCTCATTCCCCTAACTAATCAGCTAGCCCCGCCAAAAAAAAAAAAAAAAATCCTCCACCCAAGGCCAGTTTCTCAAATATGTAAATCTGATCAGATTACAAAGTTCCAATGCTCCCAGCTGTTTGAAAAGTTAAGCTCCTAACATGATGTTCAAGGTCCCATGTGCTCTGGCCCGCATACTCCAGCTTTAAATCCAGCCTTTCTGTCTTTAAAATGATGGGTTGTTAACCACCACCACCCCAGTACCCTGTTTCAGGTTCCACATCTTTGCTCACTCGAAATGAGTTTCCAGACTTGACATTTTTTTCTTCTTGTCCTATGCTTCCGTAATTGTACTTGCCATATGGAATGAAATAAACCTGCTTATGTATAGGTTTTCTGCATTCATCACAAGGTAGAGACCTTGACTTGATATTTTTAGCTTCGCCAGTAGAGTATGTGTTTCACAAGATGACTCCTGGGTAGATTGATGAATGTACAAGTAAATTAACCAATTAACAAATCTAAAAGGGTAATGACAGCTTAAGGTGTCACAGGACAATGTGTTGTTTAAAAAAAAAACAAATTAGAGCAAATGCTGTAAGCTTAGAGGACAAGCAGCCAATTGCAGCCCATTAGAAGACAGTAATAATTTTGGGTGAGGGTGAGAACACAATAACATTAGAATTGGAAAAAATTTAAAGGAGGTATGGTTGTAGGGGAAATGATGGCAAACTAGGGCTCCAACCACCAGTTGATTCAGTGTGTGGAGCTATCCGAGTTCATTCAGAGACCATGTCAAAGCCAGGCCTGTCAGTCAAGAGTGACTACAAACTCCGAGCCTCAGGATGACTCAGGGAAAGAGGACAAGCCCCGAACCAAACCAATGGATTTTGTGGAGACACTGTTAAACCTCCATCCAGAACACCTGCACTGTTCAGAGACCACATACTCACTTCCCATTCCCCTCATCCTACCCACCCCTTTATTCTGTTCTGGAGCCAGCCCCGACTGTAGAGTGACACCCTGCCTCAAAACAACCAGAAGAAAACTAAACACATAACAGAAATAAAAATCTTCAAACTTGGAAGCCCAAGAGAGAGTTTAACAGGTAAGAGTGCATACTGATCTTGCAGAGGACCCACATTTGGCTCTGAGCACCCTCATCCATTGGCTCATAACTGCCTGCAACTCCACTCCAAATATGTAAATCTGATTGCACAACAGCTTTAAAGTTAGCGATGCTCCCAGCTGTTTGAAAGTTCCAGACTCTCAACACAACAAAGTTCCCAAAGACCTGGCCCCGCCTACTCCAGCTTCATTTCTAACACCTCTCTGTTTAAAATGAGGGATTTCTAACAATTATCCCATTTAAAAAGTGGAGGGGGCTTCACATATTAAGAAAAAACATTTAAGAAGTGATATAAAGCTGGGAGGCCATGGTGCACTCCTTTAGTCCCAGCACTCGGGAGGCAGAGCCAGGCAGATCTCTGTGAGTTTGAGGCCAGCCTGGTCTACAGAGCAAGATCCAGGACAGGCACCAAAACAATACAGAGAAACTCTGTCTCAAAAACCAAAAAAAAAAAAAAAAACAAGAAGTGATATAAAAGGACAGAGTAAATGAAATGGGAGGGCCATCGAGATGGGTAAAGGCTCCTCCCACCAAACTTGAAGACCTGAGTTGAGTGCCCAGGACCTGCATGACAAACCAACTGAACACCACACACATATACACTCACACACAAAGTAAATAAAATACAATTTTCCAAAAGAGAAACGAAGCCAGGCGTTGGCAGTTCACGCCTTTAATCTCAGCAGAGGCAAATGGAATCTCCGAGTTCAAGGCAGCCTGGTCTACAGAGTGAGTTCCAGGACAGCCAGGGCCACACAGAGAAACCCTGTCCTGAGAAACCAGGAGGGGGAGGGGGATGAAAAACTTAAAGGATTAAAGAACAGAATCTAACCACCAAGTGAAAATATGAAGACAGGGAAAATGATCCTAGAACCAATCAACAAGAAGAGCCAAATGAGAAGACGGATGATGAGCACCGGACTCGGGGTCCCCTGAGTGCCCAGCATCGGGATTGGGAAATGTCTCGACCAGACACAAAGGTTTAGAGTGAAAGACCAGAAACCTGCTTCCTTATAAAGAACCAACACTC